GACTGGTGTCGTAAGAGGATAGAAAAATCCTAGCTTGGGATAGAGGAAAGAAAGCTTTTAGGTAAATTAATCTCTGAACTTCATTTTGATTAAGTGACACAATCCCTTTTTCCCCGTAATAAAACCGAATTATTTACTAACACATCAGCATGAAAAATCTATTCCTAACAAAAATAAAAATAGAAAATATTTACCAAAATTTTGACCAACCAGTTTTTTCTTTTGAGGAACTTTTGACCAACCAGATATTCACCACGAGAAAGTTGGACTAAAAAAGCGAGTTGGACTAGAAACAACCATGTGGATGTGCGTTTCAGCCCGTTTGAACTGTCGGCCATTCCACCTTAAAACCTCAAAATAAACTCGTCAAGCCCATTCTGCATACGACCCAACCCACTCCACCCACTGCAGAAACCCTAGCTGCAACCTCCCGCATGGGTGATCCTAATTGGCGGCTTCGACGCCCATTTGTGTTTCTAGCGCCTACTATGGATTTTGTGGGCTCGGTCTTGTAGGACCAAGGTAGCTCTGATCGGTTGGTTCCGTTATCTGTTTTGCTGACTGTTTCGATCAATCGTTTGTTCGGTTTGGCTTGGATTTTTATGTGGGAAATTCTTTTTCTCTCATTAGTTGTTTCCTTTCCTGTTTCAATCGATTTGATGTTTATAATAGTACGTATAAGAATTTAGTCTCACTACAAGAAACCAAAAGGAAGAAAAAAACTAAACAAGTAGAAGAAGACTAGAAGAACTAGTTGCATCTAAGCAACCCACTCGATGGCTATTTGTTTCTTTTGTTCGATCATTCCCTTGTATTACTGTTTGTTTGCTAGTATACAATTTTGCTAGATTAGTTCCTATTTCTTACCAGTGGTTGAATAATTCGAAAAACACTCAAAAAAGTAGGACGTGCTGTGAGTCAATTTGATTGTTTCTGTGATATCTTTTTCTCAAGTTACTGCTTAATAAAATTATTACAAAAAGGAAAAAAAATACTTGAGTGGACTTGAAAAAGAAGGCTAATTTCTCAAGTTACTACTTACTAAAATTATTACAAAACAAAGGGAAAAATCACTTGAGTGGACTTGAAAAAGAAGGCTAGTTTCTCAAGTTACTGCTTAATAAAAAATTTACAAAACAAGGAAAAATACTTGAGTGGACTTGAAAAGAAGGCTAGTAGAACTACAAAACAAATTGTACAACATGATCTGGTAATATTTCAAGTGAGTTAGAGATAAAAAAAATCTGAATAATAATCTTTCAAGTGAATTATTGATCTTCTTTTCTTGCTTTCTGGCAATAAAAGAATAATTGCTTATATTTTTTTTATAAATTAACACTCTGAAAAAGGATAAAAGATTCACCAAACGTAATTAGTTTTGAATATATTGAATACCTAGGTTATTGTTTTCCCCAAAAAAATATTGCAAATATGAAGGATTTCACTTGAAGAGCTTGTATCCCCGTGAAAAAGAAAACACAAAAACGTTTGGTTTATTATTTTGAGTTATAGAATAAAAGATTCAAAATAGATTGCAAAATAAAATGATTGATTTCATTGGAAAGGAGAGAACTTAATATGTCTTTGTAAGAATGACTTCACAATTGGTAGTCGAGTCAGTTGTGACTCTAAGTAGCAGTCTCATATAGGAAAATGTATCTAAGCATGTGTAAATTAGCCAGCAAAAAATGGGATTTGAATACATACTCTGAGTGTGTATAAATCAGCATGCAAATTTCGATGAACTAAATTTTAAATTCTAGGGCATATTTTATATTTAAATTTAATGAAATAAATTGGAATTTGGTGAACTAAATTTGAACTAGGTGACTAAATGAATATGGTGAACTAAATCAATTCGGTGAGTAAATTAGATTTAGGTGACTTAAATTTGAATTCAATGAGCTAAATTTGATTTCAGTGAACTAAAATTGAACTAAATAAAAATTATAGGAATTAAATTAAAATCTATTCACCTAAATTTGATTGGGTGATATTGTATCAGGTGGACTAAATTTGAATTTGATTATCTCAATTTGATAAAAAAATTGAATTAGGTGAAATAGTTTAAATTGGGGGAACTAAATTCAAATTCAATGAACTAAATTTGAGTTAGGTGAACTAAAGTTGAATACGCTAGACTAAATTTGAATTGGGTAAACCAAATTTGTGTTTGGTGAACTAAAAATGTAAATTTGGTGAATGAAATTTGATTTACATGAACTAAATTTGAACTCGATGAACTAAATTTGAACTAGGTGAACAAAATTTGATTAGGTGAGAAAAAAATGATTTAGGTCAAATAAATTTGAACTGGGTGAACTAAATATGAATTTAGAGAATTAAATTTGAATTACGTAATTGAAATTTAATATAGGTGAAATAAATTTCAATTTGATGAACTATGTTTGAATATGGCGACTTAAATTTGAATTGGGTGAACTAAAAGTGAATTTCAATTCTGAGTACTGGATTTGAATTACAGGAACTAAACTTGAATTTGGTGAACTAAATTTGAATTCAATGAAACTATATTAGAACTGGGTGGATTAAATTTCAATTTGTTGGACTAAATTTCGAATTGGGTGAACTAAATTGGATTTATGTGAACTTTATTTGAATTATTTGAACTAAACTTCAATCCCGTGGGCTAATTTTAAATTAGGTGAAGAAAATTTGATTCAAATAAACTGAACTTGAATTCAATGAACTAAATTTGAATTTAATGAGCTAAAATTGAATTTGGTGAACTAGATATGAATTAAGTGAACTTAATTTGAATTTGGTAAACGAAATTTGATTTAGGTGAACAAAATTTTGCCTCAGCTAGTCTGGAATCTTGAATCCTCTGCGTTTAGAAAATGAACACGTCAGATAAGTGGAAGTAATTATCCTAACCACGGCAAACAATATGACAACTAATTAATGATATCATACCATAGCAGGAGAAAGCCTCTTATATGTACTAGCCACATGAATCTCCCCCAGCATACCTCCTAACATATCAAGCTTCATTAAAACAAAACAAGAAAAATATATAAGATACAATAAACTCACGCTCCATAGAACATTTCCACAAGATACTTCAAATGCTAGATCATTAGGTTGAACAATAGAATTAAACACATAATAAGAATAAATTAACTCTCAAAAAAAGGAAGTTCACAAAAGAGATATAGAGAACTATAGATTCTGAAGATCAATTAGTAATTGTACACAAACTCTGCCAAAACTTGTTGGGGGAGGAATTCACTCAGGAGCACAACTTCCAGATTTGCGAATAGAAACAAATATGTTTGGAACAATCAAATGATGTTTGAAGGAATGGTGGTCAGAAGTAATCCTAGATTACTTTTTCAAGCCACCTTGTGTTTATTACAGAAGATACTGCTACCTCAAAACTCTTGAGAGTGGACTATGTGGAGCCAAGCTTTGATGCTACATATCACAATAATATATTTGCTCAGCTAAAATTGAAGGAATAATCAAGATCAAGACAAACAAGTTGAGTATGAGATCGTGATGCAAGAATCTATAGGACTAAAGAATTGTTTCCACAGTGCGCTAGATTTACATCTAAATAGTGTAAACGAGTTTATTCACTTGAAGAGTTAGTATAGTCAAAAAAGGCGCGCCTAGGCAGTAGCTTAAGCACGCCTAGGCTCTAGGTGATATCAAAACATCTATTACTTCATATGCACATACCCGCGCTTAAGTGTGCGCTTTGGCCAGAAAAGTGCAAGGCGGTGTCAAAACACACAATTAACTCCTAGCACTTTTCTTTAAGTTTGAGAGTTAGTAAGTTATACCTAAGTTTGTAACTACTTTTGAACAGAACCAGCAAAGTGAATAATTTGAGTAGAGTAATGTACTCCCTTCAGTAGGGGCAATTAGTGAAGCACATCAAAAAAGAATAAGACTAGTGCCTACTGCAAGGGTCTCTGAAATATTCGAAGTGAATTAACAAGAATACAACAATAACTTAGTCCAGTAATAGGGGAAAATGCATACATGTTGTGGGTTAAGCTTACTACTAGATGTTGCTGGGCATATATGCATTTGCTTCATGGATTCAGATACGCTGAATACTACCTGCACGAGGAAAACACTCTTGATTTTATACTGAGACTATTCACTCCAAAGTTCAAACATTTTGAAGACCAACAAACATGACAACCTTTGAAAGTTTGGATACAGTTTGAATTGGCAATTTTTTTGTCTTACCTTGTTCCAATCATGACTTAATGATTGTGCACTATCATGAGCCTCACTCTGTTTTTCTTTTGCCATAGAGAAGAAGATGATACACAAGGAAGTTGTTTCCATGATGTTATTGGGCTTCTACGTCCCTTTGCTCTTTATTCAGACAATGAATGTTGAGCATATTCATTTTCTTCCACTGCCATGTACATCCATATGAAAATTGCATTTATGATTGGGTAGACTATCCAAAGCAGGGACATCGCACAGAGTATCCTCAACCTCAGTGGCATCACTCAGATCCTGCCTTGGAGGAACGCCTAGAATAGAAGCCTGACCGGTTTTCTCTAGCTGTTGTGGTGTAACAAAATAAGAAGCTAGCACAGTGCCATCATGGTCTTGAGCTTTGCTGAATGTGTTATGTGGTTCCTGAACAAGTTCATTCCTCTCAACTAGCGGTAATTGACGATTATGAGTTACAGGCGGTCAGTTTGATGAAGCACAAAAAAAGGGTGCTCTGAAAGACATTAATAATCTAGCATAAAACAAAGGAACCTAGTAACCGGGAAAAATGACTTCATTATGTGGACTCGAGTAAGCGGAAAAGAAGAAGTGGGCCGAGCCCAACGCGAGGGCCCGTGTCCACCTGCAGCGTGACCTAGCTTCAACCTCCCTCGATATAAATTACCCCCGCTCGCCCACCACTCCCATCCCTTAGCCGCCGCCACAGCCTCCAGCTCCAAACCCTCATCCCCCCCATCGGAGCTCCCCTGCCCCCAACCCCCCACCCCCACCCAGCCATGGCGGACCGCGGCGGCGAGCGTGGTGTCGGCGAGCGCGGCGGCGACCGCGGCGGCTTCGGGCGCGGCTTCGGTCGCGGCGGGCGCGGGGACCGTGGCGGGCGCCGCGGCGGCCGCCGTGGCCCTCGCCAGGAGGAGGAGAAGTGGGTGCCCGTCACCAAGCTCGGCCGCCTCGTCAAGGAGGGCCGCTTCACCAAGATGGAGGAGATCTACCTACACTCGCTCCCCGTCAAGGAGCACCAGATCGTGGAGACGCTCTGCCCGGGGCTCAAGGACGAGGTGATGAAGATCACCCCGGTGCAGAAGCAGACCCGCGCCGGGCAGCGCACCCGCTTCAAGGCCTTCGTCGTCGTCGGCGACAGCAACGGCCACGTCGGCCTCGGCGTCAAGTGCGCCAAGGAGGTGGCCACGGCCATCCGCGGCGCCATCATCCTCGCCAAGCTCTCGATCGTGCCCGTCAGGAGGGGCTACTGGGGGAACAAGATCGGCCTGCCCCACACCGTGCCCTGCAAGGTCACCGGCAAGTGCGGCTCCGTCACCGTGCGCATGGTGCCCGCCCCCAGGGGTTCCGGAATCGTCGCCGCCCGCGTCCCCAAGAAGGTGCTGCAGTTCGCCGGGATCGATGATGTCTTCACTTCCTCGCGTGGATCCACCAAGACCCTTGGCAACTTCGTCAAGGTATAAACTTCCCCTGCCTTTATCCGTACTCTGCCATGTTCCCGTCATACTGCAACGTTAGTGTCAGTACATAATGTTCATTCCCTTGTGTGTGCATGATTTGGAATGTTTACTGCAAGTATGCTCAATCTAAACTTCTGTTTCGGAAGTGATGCCTTTCGCACCGTGTAAAATATTATTTGTATTAGATGTAATCCTGAATAATGTTGGAAGAAGGGTAGCTGATTTACACTTGATTCTGGTTTGTATTGATTAGTCTAGATTCTATTGGCCTGGAAATTGTAGTTCTACTGTACTAGCCTAAGGTTGTTGACCAAACTTTAATTTGTGCTTAATACTTCAGGTTGGTCTACAATTGATTGATTGAAAATGTGTCACAACCTTTTGAACAGTTCAGTTCATTTTGTATTGGATGCTTTTCATGTTTTCAATCTGTACATGTAATACATTTTCGAGTTGCTCAATCCTGGCTTGTGTCCTAATACATTTTGAGTTCATGTATTATAATCATTTAGACGTTTCTGGTTGAGGGTCTATTCTTGCAGAGTGATGTATCATAGTCATTTGTGGTGATGATTCTATCAGGTTGAATGTGTTATATATTTTGCATTGAATTGTTGCAAGCCTGAAGCTCACAATTCTTTTGTTTCTAGGCTACCTTTGACTGCCTGATGAAGACCTATGGATTCCTCACTCCTGACTTCTGGAGGGAGACAACCTTCACCAAGGCGCCGTACCAGGAGTTCACCGACATCTTGGCGAAGCCGACCAAGGCCCTGATGCTTGATGCACCAGCTGAGAAGATAGAAGCTTAGGATGAAGGGTTTTTACTAGCTGGGAGCTGTCTGTTGCACTTTGCTTTATTATAGTCGAGAACCAGGTGTCTTTGAATTGTGCTACTTGTGGAAGTCTCTGTTTGCTGTCAAAGTTTTGGATTATGGTGCAATGCTACTCTGTTATCGGCAATGGATGCTACATAATTATGCCAATCGCAGTGTTATTTGTCTAGATGTTTGATTTTTGGTCTGAGCTTTGTGTTGATTTTCTCCATTGCCTCCTGCTTTGTTTGTGTTGTTTTCTAAACTGTCCATTCTGGTGCAGTGTGTTTGAGCAAAGTTTGACCTGTTAACGAGTGTGGTAGTTTGGCTGGTGTGATTTCAGCAGCCTTGCCTCTAATCAGGAGGTAGCCGAGCCTTTCTAAAACCCCCCGAACCTGGGTGATCTATCTATGACCAGGATGAAGCTTGGAACACAAGTAAATTTACATGGTGGTGGTTGGCTGTGCCACGTCGTCGTTGTTGCGCCGCTGCAGGTTGATGATCTAATAACTGAATTTAGTTTTCAGACTTTTTAACTGAATTAGCCAATGTCGTTGTAGCATGCCACTCACTACTCGTACATTGTAAGACTCAACCGAATCTAGTTTGGCGAAAGAGATTGAGCAATCCAGTTACTAGTTCATTTGACAAAATGTTCCATATGCTTGATTGAATGCTATGTATATAAGTGGGTGTTCTAGTAATCTACTTGTGCAACAGTGCGAGTGCAGAATTAAACAGAACCGAATTGAATTTGAGCATCTGCATACTTCTGAACTAAACTAGATGCCAAATGTTAACTGAAATTTTACTAAAGTGAATGCAAATTGTTGCCCAGAACTGAACCCCAACATAAGTGGATGGCAACTAGTGCCCATAATTCAACTGAACTGACCAGCAAATTTGCCAAAACCAGGCTTGTTTACATCCTGATTCAAGTTAAGAGTACATGATTGCCCAGAAAGAGTAGCATTTCACCAGTGATTGGTCCCTGTTCTATCTCCCTTTGAGGAGTGAAACTGCAGCGATATATTACTTTTGCTTAGAGTTCTTCTGAAAATGTTCTTTGAGTGCTCTCGGAAAATGTTGTTACTTTTGCTTGCTGCTTTCCTTTTACTAGACTGCGCTGAAACAATACTAGTAGTAGTATATTGTCATAGTATACCTCCAGATTTAGGCAGAAGAAACACGGTCATTTCTGGTACTGTTCCTTGGAGTGCATTTGCTCTATACCTCAAAACATGTAAATGGTCATTGCTTATTAATTAAGGAGCTAGACTTCAGTACCACAAATTAGATGACACTTGATCATTCTTCTTCGAGAGAAGCAACCATAGCCCAATAGAATGACTTTAGGCTCTAGGAAATAGAATTAGTACCGGGGAAACAAGCTTCACGGTGTGTAGAAGGACCAAATAGGCATACTAGTGACTCAGGCTTTTAATTAGTCATTCTAGAATCATTGTACTTGTACCAACGCCTCCTCCTCGACCGGGACTCCATCTACTCCGTCGTCCCCTCCGCCACCTGAAGCAGGTAGCCAATCTCGCCTGTTGTTGTTATGATCTGCCTTGTTTATATTTTATCTGCAATTTACATTGATCTTGTTGCAAGAAAAACCATGGATGGAGATGATACCTAATTAAGTTAAATCCACAATATCCGTCCAACGTCATACCTAATTAAGCACATGCAATATATTCTCTTTGTAATTAGAAACATACTCTCTTTGGGCCATGGTTTATCTGCAATATATTCTCTTTCAGTACATTATGTGTCCATGGTGAGGAATGTTTGCTGCAAATAAGAAAATATATTTAGTTAGGAGGTGTGGAGTGAGGAGCTCCTAAGTCTCTAGAGCTCTATCCATAACCATGTTCTCTGTTCCACATTTCATCTCAATTTCCGTTGTTTTTGCATTTATACATTTACAGTCAATATTATTCTGCTCATAATCACTTACTTTTAGTTAGCACGAACACTTGTGAACTGTCTTACACACCGGTAATGTTGGTACAGTACTAGCACAGTCCATTGGTCAACTATATGTAGTACTTAGTTGACTATTTTTTCATAAACGAGCAACATACTATTTACGACCCAGTCCTAGCGAGATACCATGCTACTGCTTCTAGTTGGTTGTGAGGTATGGAATACTGATTAATTAGATAAAAGAAGATAACATTGCAAGACTTAGTCTGGTGTTTGTCACTTCAGTGCAAGTTGAACAAAATGCTAGTAGGATCCCTGTGGTAACTTTTGTGAATACTTCACTTGCCGAAATACGAGTGTGCTTGCTGTAGCCTAAGCTTGTCGACCAAGCTTTATTTTCTTCAAATGTTTGATTGTAAATGTATTGCCTTTTTAAACAGCTCAACTCGTTTGTTATTAGAAGCTATTCATGTTTTCAATTTGTACATCTAATACATTTTAGATTTGTTCAATCCTGGCATGTGTTCTAATATACTCCCTCCGTCCGGAAATACTTGTCATCAAAATGGATGAAAATGGATGTATCTAGAACTAAAATACATCTAGATACATCAATTTCAATGACAAGTATTTTCGGACGGGGGGAGTATTTCCTGTTATTCATCTATTACAACCATTTAGACACTTCTTGTTAAGAATCTATTCTTGCAGAGTGATACCTGTGGCGTATTACAAGCATTGTAGACATTTCTTGTTGAGCACTGACTTGTTCTCTTCTCTGTTTATACTATGCATGCCATGTTCTGTTTTATTTCTCATGCTGGCAGTGGTAAAATTAACCAATTTATGAAGTTGTAGTTCTTTTCATCTGTACAGCTGACGATTCTAACTTCTATCTGGTTCAATGCATTCTTGTTTGGATTGACTAGTTGCAAACATGAGCTAATATAAATTCTTTTGTTCCCAGGCTACCTTTGACTGCCTGATGAAGACCTATGGATTCCTCACCCCTGACTTCTGGAGGGAGACAACCTTCACCAAGGCGCCATACCAGGAGTTCACCGACATCTTGGTGAAGCCGACCAAGGCCCTGATGCTTGATGCACCAGTCGAGAAGATAGAAGCTTAGGATGTCGGCGTGAAGGGTTTTCACTAGCTGGGAGCTGTCTAATGCTCTTTGCTTTATTATAGTTAAGACTTTTGAATCGTGCTGCTTCAGGATGTCTCTGTTTGCTGTCAAGTTTTGGATTGTGGTACTATGCTACTCTCTTTTATCATCAATGGATGCTACATAATTATGGCAATCGCAGTCTTATTTATCTATAGATGTTTGGCCTTTATCTATGCTTTGTGTTGTTCATGTTCTCCTCTGCCTCCTTGTTTGTTTTGTTGCTTATTCTGGTGCATTGTATTTGTGCAAAATTCGACCTGATAATGAATGATGTATGATTTCTGCTGCCACGGGCCTTTTGTATGCTGGTTTGTTTAGTTTAGCTCAGGCTGGTGCCGTGCTTATTATTCATCCGATTTGGCTTGCTGTTTTGTTTAGTTCAGACTGGTGCCGTGTCCTTGGATATAATTTGATTAGTTTGCGATTTTAATCTACCTTTAGTTATCCATTAGTGGTTGCCGAGCTTTTCTTGACAATTGCCCAACACAGAAATTTTGTTTTCTGACGCTTCTCAGGGAAGCATAAGCTTGGAGAAGGCGGTTTCGGAGAATGCAGGGTAAAGCTATTTGCCGCACTCTGTTCTTCTACTGAAAAAAGAACCTCTGCTTCAGGGAAACTTCCCAGACGGGCAAGAAATAGCAGTGAGGTAGTACTGGACATGGACTGGATCAGATACGCATTGAAGTGCTGGTATTGGCACAGCTCCAGCACAAGAACCTTGTTAGGTTACTGGAGGTCTGTGTACGGTGTGCGGGTTTGCCCAACTGTTGTTTCTTTTCGCCTCCTATCAATGCAAAGGTACGCACCTAGTGTATCCGCGAAAAAAGGAGGCAACATCATTCTCAGAATTGCAAGAGAATAATGTATATTCACGAGTGTAAGAATAATCCACCGAGACTTGAAAGCCAACAGCATTCTGCTTGACGATGCCATGGATCCGAAGATTGAAGACTTCGGGTTAGCTAGGCTGCAAATAGGAGGCCATACTCAAACCATGACAGCTAGAGTTGTTGGAACATACAGTAGTAAGCAACTGCATACAAAAAGGCTTTCGTATATTGCAGATATCAAGACGTGTGTTTCTGTGCCTAACTGACAATCATCTGTAGCTGGTATATGGCGCCAGAGTATGCAATACACCGAAACGATGTCGCCAAAGATCGACATTTTCAGCTATGGTGTCTTGGTGCTTGATGAAATTGTAACCAAGAGGAGGAGCTGCGATTCAGATGATTGCAAGACGGACACGGTGAATCTCCTAAGTGATGTATGGACTTGTTGGACCAAAGGGACGATATCGCAGATGATTGATGAATTCACTCCAAGGACACCCGCGAATCCAGGCGCTAAGATGTACTCCCTCCGTAAACTAATATAAGATTGTTTAGATTACTATTTTAGTGATCTAAATGCTCTTATATTAGTTTACAGAGGGAATATGTAACTATGTATCCACATTGGGTTTCTGTGCCTGTGCGTCCAAGCAGACCCTCACGACAGGCCTGACATCCCATCCATCATCTTCATGTTGAACAGGGATGACATGGAGCTTCAGCCACCAGCACAACCTGCATTCTTCTTCGGGGAAGACTCAAACTCACCTTCTCCGCCTACGTGTACAATACAACCCATCTGAGGTGATCTTTGAAAACACCACTGAATGGGCTCACAACTACTGACGCAAAAGAAAAAAACCACATAAATTCTATTAGGCACACCGCTGCATGGAAGAGTGAGGTTAGATAGACGATGTGAAGGGTTAATCGATCCTGTGTAGGTGCAGGTGCTAAAATTCACTCTGTTTTTCATGTGAGCACATTAGATCGCCCAGATTCGCCCCGATGGCGCATTGAACCAGGTATGGTCTTGCAAGCAAGGAAAATTACGACGAATAATGAACCAATCACTAAGTCCGAGAGGGGCATGGTTAGTGCTCCACTTCCCCGAACACTGAAGAAATACGATTGGGATGACAATTCGATCAATGATCCGCAGGCTCTCCTTGATCTACCTGCTGTTTACTGCAGTTATTAGGCTAGTATATGAAAGGCTCTATTGTAGCCGCCCGGGCCCATCGTGCTGAAGTACCCAAATTATGTACAAACATGTACCCCAACAGAGCGGCACCAGACCACAGGTTCAGTGCGCCTAGGGTGTAAGCGTAGCCTGAGTCGATGAGCCGCCTGTGCATTAGAGCAACCACACGGCGCGCTAAAACCTTTTTACAGCGCGGAAATAGCGATTTTTTTTGCGCGTGGTAGGGCGCTGACTTCAGCTGCCGCTGCAAAATATGGTGCGTGCGAGCAGCTCCAGCAGGCGCGCTAACTTATAGTGCGCGAGCAGCCGGCGTTTGCAAATAAAGATTTACATGTCCATTTTGACAATATGATGATGTTTCAAACATTAAACAAATATGCAAAATAAAGACATAGCATAGTTCAATTGCACGACACATCAACAATCATGCCACATCATCATCCAACCAAGTTCAAAATCATCCAACCAAGTTCATGACACATAAAAGTTCAAACAAACAAATGGCACATCAACAATCATGACACATTATCATCGTCCTCCTCTTCATCCGAAGACGATTCTTCCTCCTCCTCTTCATTGTCGCGCGCCGCATCGTCATTGGAAGCTCGGATTGTGTCCGCAAGATATCCAACGGCATCATGCGAAGGTATGTGAAACATGCGTCCATCCATGTCACCCGGAGGTGTTCTCATGCCTCCCATATGGAAGACCCAAAACTCATGCCTCCCATGCCTCCCATGGTAGCTCCGGAGCCACCCATGCCCCCCAAGGTAGCTCCGGAGCCACCCATGCCTCCTGTAGGTGCTCCCATGCCTCCCATGCCAGCTCCCATGCCTCCCATGGCCATGGCTCTTTTTTGGACCAATACTTCTTCACGAGAAAGATTGACATACTCCTTTTACTTAGCATCGAGGTTAGATGTGTCCATGAATAACAAGTACTTCTCCCATTTGAATAATCTAGATCGCTCCTCCATGGCCAATTTCTTCTCCTCCAATGCCACCTTCCTCTCCTCCGCCGCCACCCTCCTTTCCTCGGCCGCCAACCTCCTCTCCTCGACCGCCGCATCTTGGCTCCTTGACATCATCCTCACCTCGTTCTTGCCTTCACAATAGCTTCCATATCTTCTTCTTCTTCTTCATCTTCTTCTTCTTCTTCTTCTTCTTCTTCTTCTTCTTCTTCTTCTTCTTCTTCTCTTTTGCATCTTTCTTGCCTCCATTTGGTCTTTTTGGCTTGGAGTAGGCAACCGAGTTTGGTGTAGGGCTTCTCTTGCCGCCATCACTTGATGCCTCCTCCTCCTCATCATCATCCGAATCAATAGTTGCCTTGCTTTTCTTGCTCTCCTCTTATTCACCATGTGGCTTCCATTTCTCTTCATCCTTCAACACATTGTAGCAATGGGTAAACACGAATAGTCTCCCTTTCTTGACCTTCCCTTTCTTGGTCTTCTTCTCTTCTCCTTGGAATTAGTTTTGTGTAATAGTGAGCTACAAACAAAAAAACAAGTTAGCATTTCAAACAACCAAAAAAAGCATGACCATGGAAGGAACAAGTTAGCATGAAAGGAAGGGCTTACCCTATCTCTATCATTAGTGCCACTTGGGTTGATCGTGTCAACCGCCTTAAGTGTCGCCGCTCACCTTTGACAACCTTTGTTGATTGTCGACCACCCAGAGCGAAGAGATCTCTTCGTGCGGTCAATCGTGTTGTGTACATTGGTGACCCACAATTATAGGGGACCTATCGTTGTCCTTTCGATAAGTAAGAGTGTTGAACCCAATGAGGAGCAGAAGGAAATGACAAGTGGTTTTCAACAAGGTATTTTCTACAAGCATTGAAATAGTCGGTAACAGGTAGTTTGATAGCAAGATAATTTGCAACGGACAAGTAATGGTAACGATAAATAAAGTGAAGCAAGGTAGCCCCAATCCTTTTGTGGCAAAAGACAGGGCAAAATGGTCTCTTATGATAAGCAAAGCGTTCTTGAGGGTACACGGGAATTTCACCATGTCACTTTCATCATGTTGGTTTGATTCGTGATCGCTACTTTGATAATTTGATATGTGGGTGGATCGGTGCTTAGCTGCTATTCTTACTTGAACAAACCTCCTACTTATGATTAATCCCCTCGTAAGCATCCACAACTATGAGAAAAGTATCAAGATAAAATCTAACCATAGCATTAAACACTTGGATCCAAATCCGTCCCTTACGAAGTAGCGCATAAACTAGGGTTTAAACTTCTGTCACTCTAGCAACCCATCATCTAATAACTACTTCACAATGCATTCCTTTAGGCCCAAGTATGCTGAAGTGTCATGTAGTCGACGTTCACATGACACCACTAAGGGAATCACAACATACATATCATCAAAATATCGAACACATATCAACTTCACATGATTAATTGCAACATGACTTCTCTCATGACCTCAAGAACAAAAGTAACTACTCACAAATGATTATCATGCTCAAGATCAGAGGGGTATTAAATAGCATAATGGATCCGAACATATAATCTTCCACCAAATAAACATATAGTAATCAATTACAAGATGTAATCAACACTACTAGTCATACACATGTACCAATCTGAGGTTCCGGTACAAAGTTTGAGAGGAGATGGTGTTGTTGAAGATGTTGATGGATATTGGCCTCCCAAAGATGAGAGGGTTGTTGGTGATGACGATGTCTTCGATTTCCC